CCACCGACAGAGAGAGAGAGAGAGAGAGGGAGCTCCTGAAAGAAAAGTGTGAAGCCATCTCATCCCAAGAAAAGGAAAGGAAGAAAAAGAAGGGGAAACAACCACCATAGCTACTTAAATTTCCTAATGAATGAATGCCTAATCGAACGACATTTCAAATTTTCAGTGTGAGAGTGTTCTAAAGGATGAGTCAACCAAGTTCCAAGCGGCCTATGAGAAGTTTTGCAAGGATAAAACATCACATCTTCAGGCCTATAATGGTAAGTGTACCGATAAAGGGGTCTCCACCTCCACTGTTTCTTCCCATCCCATATCCCACAGGTGTATGGTATATGCTACATCACTGGGACATCCACTATCTGTTTACCATGGGAATGTGGAGATTGAATTTAGACTTGTGACTCTGTATAATCAGGAACTAGATTTAATCTCCACTGTCCACTGTCGAGAATGGACAGTGTATGCGCCTGTGGTTTACCATAATATTTACAACTGGTGTATGGTGTTACAATGCTCTGTTACCTCATTTTTCAAAGTGGTTATATTTCCATTGAATTTGAAGTGGATCTTTAAGTATGAAAAGAGCTGTATCATATTTTTATCACTTTGCAGAAATATTCTCCAAATTTGAGGATGAAAAGGAGAAGCTGTTTGCCTGCTATGAACAACAGAGTGAGCAACATGAATTCCAGGCTAATTATTTATTATTTATTTTTTATTTTTTTAGTCTGTTGGGTTGGATGACATGAGCTTGGGGGTAGAAGAAAGTCATCCTCAACCACATAAATATATTTATCAAGACTACAATCTGTTGTATTTACCGTCCTTATTATTGCACAGAAAATACAATTAATGGAACATTGGCAGTTATATTGTCAGCTACAGGGAAGCAATTGATGCATAGATGTTAGGAAAACAGTCTTTCTCCAAAAGAAAAAGGGTACGTGAATTAGAACACAATTTGTATTAAACAGAGTTAACGTTTGGTTTTTCCAGGAAAGAAAGAGAAGATCATGATATCAGATCTTGAGAAGGCTTGTGCTGACAAAATTGCAGCAGCTGAAGGTTCCCTCAAAAAAAAGAAACAGGTAAATGCCAGACCATTTTCCTGTTTTTTTTTTCTTCTTTTTAAGATTTTCAGAGGCTAAATAATTCTCATTATAGTTTCGCCAATTTAAGATGTTGAAGTAAACCGTAGTGAAAATTGAAACACATTTATTTGATGGCTAAAATAAACTGATTTTCAGTTTAAATTTAAAATATTCCCATCTGGTTTTTTTATTCATATTGCATCCATAAAGGTGGGTCATAGTGATAAATTTGGTCTTGGAGAGTTTATTGGGGAGGTAAGTTTGAGGAGATTTTTTTTAGGGAAAGCTTTTTATCCCCCTTACAATAGAAGTTCTATCCTCCCCTTATCCAACCCTCCATTTTTTAATAGAGGGCTAAGATTGTCTCAATCACAATGTCACGTCTCTACACTACTTTATTTTTAAATTTTTTCTATAAACGATTTTGACACCAAATTTTAGAGGTCCATTCCTTTATTAAACTCGCACTAACGAAAAATATAAAAAAAATATTTTCAATAAAATAAAATAACTAAAATACCTTTAAAAGTTTCAAGGGGTA